GGTACCAAATAAAGTCTCCGAAAGGGACTAATGAAAGTAACTAATTATTAAGATTGGATATGAGTCATTTCTGTAGGAGGTAGGACATCATTTCGGGGGGAGGAGCCCAGAAATTGTGAAGAGAACTAAAAACTATCTGACTGAGAGAGAGCGGGAGAGACTGGGCCCTGCCGTTGACTTGAGAGGTTCTCTCTGCATATTGAGAGAATGGCTCAGATGAAATTGTAACTTAGGAGTTGAGAAAGAAACCAACAAGTTCTTCCAGGAGATGTGTGAATCTGGGATGTATGTAAACCAGGAAATCTAGGAAATATTTGAGGACCTTTGTGAAAGAATTCATGCTACAATAAACAGGACTTGAACACCATACTGGACTTATCCTTGATTATCCATCTAGCTACATCATCCCCAGAACCAGAGTGGCTAGACAGATTGCCTAGGGAATAAGGGTACAACACCCCGAAAACCTAAGGTAATAAATGGTGGAGATTGCTTTAAGTTCTCTGTACTGTGCTCAAATTTTTCATGGTGTGTGGAAAGTTATGATTCTGTTGGACTTGCAACTAATGAGGAGAGGTACGTGAACTGTTTCCATCTGCTATGGGTATGTGCTATGTGGACCTGGAAGAGACTGTTGCCATTCATGGTAGGTTATGTCCTGATTTACTGAAAAGGGTGCATTTTGCCTTTCAACCGTGTGAAGACCTCTCCCAAGCCTGACAGTGACCATTAAATCTGTGGGCCCCGGGACTTATTGATTTTCTGGACAGTGTGGTCACTACCACTACAGTGTTATTGATTTCCTGGTGTTGGACAGTTCAGCGGGACAGACCCCCAGCAGCTTACTTGTGTGATTAGTAACTTTCTTCAATGTGTGCATTGACTGTTTAGCTTGTGTACTGTGAGACTCTGCTTTTTATCTATCTTGTGACTATTGTTTGTACTCATTATGTGTTATATCACGTCATGTCATCTGATGATGAGGGTACAGTAGTAAGGTTTTCTACTCCCATTAACTGTGCTAATGCCTCTCTTGATTTGCCAGCATTCTCACCAACATTTGCTACTGTAACTAATCCAGTTGTTAGATCTCCTATTAGAGACAGAGGTGCATCCTTTATTTCACCAACTTCTCAGAAAGAGTTAGATCGTTTTGCCGAGTCTACTGTAGATACAACTGTTACTATCAAAATGCCGTATGATAGAGAAGAGGGTGCGGCAGCACAAGTTAAGAGAGAGGGTCAGTCTAGTTTCTTTTCACAGTATTGTGGGGATAACCCAGACAGACTAGACAGAAGTGTTTGTACATTGGCTAATACTTTGGCCCTTGGTCACATCAATCTTGAGAAATTTGATGGTAGTGAATCAGCTAAGGCCAGTGCTTGGTTGAAGCGTTATGAAAAGTTTACCTCTCTGAACAATTATTCTGATGAGGGTAAGAAAGAAGCTTTCAGTTTGTGGTTAGATGGCAAAGCTTTCAAGTGGTTTGAGGCAAAGGATTTTGAAGATGATACTTGGGAGGAAGTAAAAGCTGCTTTTCTTGCTAGGTACAAGCAAAATTCTGTGAAAATATATGATAGGTTAGATAAGTTGTATAGCAGGAAGCAAAAAGACTCTGAGAACTTTGAGGACTTCCTACAAGACCTTGAGTATGAGGCCAGGAGTCTTGATCGTCTTGACGACAATTTTGTCAAAGACGCTGTGATCAGAAACTCAAAACCTCAGATAAAGCAATTTATCTTGACCAGGCCTCACGATACGAAAGATGAGGTGCTGGAGAGTGCAAGGATGGGAGACGCTGCTTTTGGTAGTGCATCGCCCTCCTCAGATAGACTTGTAGCTGTTATTGAGGACTTAAAGGGACAAATATTATCCTTGACATCGAGGGAGAACTCAAGGGACCAGAGAGACAATTCATATGGACGTGGCTATAGAGACAATTCATATGGACGGCGTAATGCTTCTCCTTGCCGAGTGACATTCCAGAGTGACATTCGGGACAATTCAGGATTTCAGCCTCAAGAGCCTAGTTGGACACAGAACTTTCATAGCTCTCAGGGACAGAAACCAGGATCTCTGTATCAGAGGTCTAGGTCCATAGACAGACCTGGGTACTATGGACCATATGAACTATATGGACCCTATCAACCATATGGATGGTACACAGATGCCACATCCTAAGAGGATATGCAGAGGTTGCGGTAGGACACATTTTAGTATGTCTGAGTACTTTGCTAGAATATTACAATGTTATTGATGTGGTAGGATTGCCACATTAGCTGATTCTGTTTTTCTGAGCCAAACTTTTGCCAAAGTCACAGTGTGATGCTAAATGAGGGTGTGAACCTGGTGATGAATTAGCACACGTTCATGATAATGCTATTAAGAGCGGTAGGCACACATTTACAATTGAAGATGATCAAGAGCCAAATCACAGTAAGAATATTGATTCGAGTGATGTTGTTATTTTGACATGTAGTGTGGGATTATCCCTTAGCGGTATTAGGGTTAAGATTTAGGGAAATCATGCAATGTGCTATGTGACTCAGGTGCCAGTTTGAGCTGCATGAAATCAGATATTTTCTCATTTAACAAGAATGAGAGCTATTTTCCTATTACAAAACAAGGTGCAAGGACATTGGTTGGAGCAGATTGGAATCAGTTAAATGTTTTATGTATATCTCAAGCATTGATCAAGCGTTTTAGGTACATTCAACATGTCTGTTGATGCATTGTTAGGTTTACATTTTTTGTTACAGAGACAGTAAATTACCATTGATTTAAGTCGCAATGGATTGACTCAGTAACTTAGACTTAAGGACTTGCAGAGACGAAGTTCATTGCTTACTTTTGCTAATTCCAGGGTCCAGTATAGAAACACTATTACATGTTTATGTGAATAACCCAGACACTGAATTAGGGGGTCATTGAACCAACTGAGTCTGTTACAAAATCTTTACATGTGTTAGGTACTAGAGGTATCACTTCACCTATAATCAAATAGCATCATTTAGATTGATAAACACTACCAGTTGAGAAATTGAAACACCTGCTTTGGTAGGAATATGGGAAATAAAGAAATTTGTCTTTGATGATATGTATAGCGAGACCAATACTGGAAACAGCGCACACTTTATACAAGTCGACACAGGTGACGTTTTTTTACCAAGTTGACTCTGACAGTAGGACTCAGATGTTAGGTGACAGTTTTTTGACTGATAGTGTTGAAGACTATATGACATGTCCTGATATGGTTTTGGCCATGCACTCAGGTACACATGGTAACTTACCTCCATGTCGGATAATCAAAGTGACCTGTCATTACAGGTTGGCTCACCTATTGATGGCCCATCGATCTGTGTACCCTGTCAATTGTGCAGGTGACAACTCAGATTGTTTAATGATGTACACATACACACTGTACCTTTTGGTGATGACACAGGTAGGTCATCTGGTGTCACTGATATGACTACAGGTGAGTCATCGGGTGACACATGACTATAGGTGAGTGTTCAGGTATGTCCACAGGTACACTATCAGGTGTTCCAGGTGTATCAATTGATATAGGTGATATAATTTAGATCAGGAAATCACAGGTGGTACCACAGGTGGAGTTACACCTATGTTTCCAGATACCTTACCTCAATCTGATTTTGACAATTTAATGTCAGCTGTAACTGACATGACAGACAAACGAAAATAGTTGTTTTAGGGACGAAAAGGGTTAAGTAGGAAACACAATAAATCTTAGCAAGGACCATTCTTTGGAACCAGTCCTGCAACAGAGGACAGACAAATTGAAGCAATAGAGAATGTATGTTGGATTACAGGGGTAAATTGTACGAGGTCCGGTATGTAGGTGTCACAGAAAGTAAATAGGTCCTATGGGAATTTCACCCAGCAGAAATAGTGGAAGACTTCCACATCAGAAAAACAATGAAAGGAAAAGCGAAACGGAAGTACAAGACCAAACGATAAGACTCCTGATCTAAATGTTCCTGAATCTCCGAGTATAAGATAGTAAGACATATTTCTAAGTCCCACTTTATCATGACACGTGTCAACTTATATGGGTACCCAAAAGTTATGAGAATTGTTATGGAAAAGTCGCGGAGGACATGCCCGCGCCTATGAAAATTGATGTTTATGAAGCGGAGAGACCGCATTTGTGAGAATTGATGAATATGAAGCAGAGGGACATGCCTGCACTATGAGAATTGATGTATATAAAGCGGAGATATAAGCTGCCTATGGCCATAGAGCATTTTAGCGGAGAGAGACCGCACCAGTGAGACTTGATGAATTTGTAGCGGAGAGAGACCGCACCAGTGAGACTTGATGAATTTGTAGCGGAGATACCGCCTTTATATGAAGCAGAGGGACTGCATTAGTGAACAGAAAAGCTCAAAAGAGTCTAGAGATGACTGACACTCTCTAGTGTGGGGTAGATTGGCATCTACCTCAGGTTGCTGAAATATGAGGACAGTCGAAAGACTAACGATGAATTCATTTGGGACGAAGGACGGAGTGTCGATCAGGGGCCCGTTTCACGAAGCTCTCGTAGGCCTAAGATCTCGTAACTTTTCTCGTAGCACAATCTTACGATTTTATGGGCGTTTCACGAAACTCTCGTAGGCTTACGATACCTTAAATTTACGAGAAAAATTACGGTAAGTATTTGCTCTCGTAAATGAGCTTTATTCTCGTAAGTCTAAAACAAAATGGCGTATTATATGTTGTTAAAAGAGAAACTCAGCAAGAAAAGTATTCAAAAACAGCGTGTTTTTCGGGATCGAACATTGCTACTGGACATCGTAAGTGACGACGAACTGTTTATGAACTATCGTATGGACAGGGCCTCTTGTTTTGAGCTAATTAATCTCACTCGTCCCTACCTTCAAAGAGACACCAAGCGTTCCGTGCCGATTTCACCAGGAACCCAAATGCTCGCAACACTGCGATTTTTGTCGAAAGGAGGGTTTTATTCAGAGATTGGCCAAATGCATGGTATTAGCATCCCAAGTGTTTCGCGTATCCTGCATGCTACCACAGATGCCATTTGTGATTCGTTGGACAATATCCACTTTCCGACCTCTGTGAGTGAGCAGCGCGTTGTGAAGGAAGGTTTCCATAAACTGGCTGGTTTCCCCCGAGTTCTCGGATGTATTGAAGGCACGCTCATCCCTATCCAAGCTCCGACTGGTGACGAGGAACCCTCCTACGTGTGCCGGAAAGGATATCATGCAATAAATGCACAGGCTGTGTGCGATGACAAACTCAGGTACAACACTTAGTAGTGAAGTCACTTCACTTCGTCTCCCATGTTTTATCAATGTGTCAATAACGTTAGATCTATCCCCAAACAAACTGGAGTAAGTTCCCCTAGTTGTGGTTCATTTAAAAAATGGATCTCCTAAAATGAAAAAAGATTTAAAAGAAAAACACAGTAACTGATTAATGTCTTTATGTCATAGTTTCAGGTCACAGGCCCATAGAACATATTTACATACAATATACTTAAAAACAAACTTACACTTCCTATATACATTTGCAAATACACAATGAAGCTTCTGATGAAGAAATTAAGCAGGTATCATTACTTGAGTGACTGTCATTGCATGGAAAATAAATTTAGAACATTGCATAAGAATGTATCTAGTCACTAGTACATTACAAGTTGATAAAAAGATATAAGCAGAAATGTATTTACAGTTATATGTTATGGAAAACAATGAAGTGATGCAAAAATAACTAATAAGTATATACATTGAAATATGAAAAAGTAACTTTTATCTTCACAAATAAATGGTAATGACATAATGATTTAGAGTTGATGATAACATGAAAATTGTAAGTAATTTTGAAGTTACAAAACTGTTTGTAAACAGTCTGAAAAAATAGTGACTTTTAAATGGAAATGTAAAGGACTTTTATATTTATTTTATCAAACTACAACACTGGTCATATCCAATGAACTAACCCACAGATATGTTTAATTTCTAGATTCCTTAATGTGGTTAGTAGATGGCCTGGGGCAACACATGATGCAACAGTGCTGTCTAGCTCTGCCCTGGGACAACACCTGGAAAAAAACCCTGTAGATGGCTGGCTGCTAGGTGACTCAGGGTTAGTGTCAATATAATTTGTTTTACCTGATTGACATGCTTTACATCCTGGATAGTTGCTATCAGTTTTAGTAATTACTAAAATGTAAGTATCCATAAGCAATTCTCCATTTATGAAAGTAACATCTTAAAGGTTTACTATAACATAGTTTGATTTAAACACTATAAAGATATGTTCATCTTTTGTAAGTATTAAAAATACCTAAATAATAAATACTATGTTCACTTTTCCATTACTGTTCTGTCAGGTATCCAAGTCGTTCATGGCTCTTGACACCCATTCTAGAGGCACACACACGCCCAGAAGAGCGATACAATAGTTGTCACTGCAGAACAAGAAATGTAGTAGAAAGGGCCTTTGGCGTTTTAAAATCAAGATTCAGGTATGAACCTTGCAAGTTTAGTGAATGAACAAAAAAGTAAAGTAATGAAATGAAAATTTGATTGCATTGTAATTCCTTCAACAGTTCAAAAAAAATTAAAACACATTTATCTATTTATCATATTGTAATTATTATATGATTATCATATAATAATGTGATATGTTAAATGTAGATATATTTCTCTCTCTCTCACTCACACACATGCACACACACACACATTGTTCTAAATTTGGATTTCCTAATTTCAGATGTCTACACAAAAGCACTGGCTGCCTTCCCTTCACCCCAGCAAAAAGCTCCAAAATTATTATGGCCTGCTTCAAGCTGCACAATTTTTGCCTAAGTAGAAATATGCCCTGTCTTGTAGATCATGACCTAGATGAAGATGAGAATGATGATAATCATTTTCCCGATGGTTCACCACAGACTGATGGACAAACTGTTCGCAGAAATATCATTAGAGAGAGATTCACATAAAATGTATAAAGAATGTGCATATTTTAAAATTCCTAAATGCATATGTACAGTGTAACAATTCATAGAAAAACAAGAGAATCTTATGTTACAATACATAATACAAGTGCTATTTTGGTGTCAAATATTTCAGGAATTATATTAATTGGGATTAAAGGATGTTTCTTAATAAGCTGACAAATGGGAAAGCAGCCCAAAATAACCAACATCTTATATTATCAAATTACTGCTATTTTACTTGAAAGGTACATACACATCAAGTGGTGATAATGGTTCTGTTCTCTGGCAATACATATCCATTAATGATCTTTTAGGCCAGACCAGTTTTACTTCTTGTTTTACGGTTCAGCTGGTAGCTTTTAATTTTTTTTCTAGAATGAGAAAATAAAGTAAATATTAATTTTCCTCTCTCAAAAAAATTATATCATAATGAATTTATTGGCCAAAAATGTAAACTTACCAGAAAAAGTTTTTTAGTTTCTACATACACTTCATAAATTGCCAAAAGTAAAATACTTTAAGCATTTAGAAAGAGTATTATTTTTATTTTATTTTTATAATTTTTCCCTCCTGCCTTTAGGTTTTCTGAGGACAAAATTCTGTAAAACAATAAATGAAATTGGTCTGGTCTTACAATTAGTTAACATTGACAGGCCACCTAGTATAGGGTTCAGTCCATTCAAAATTTGATAACAGGGTCAATACTTAAAACTGAATCAAACTCCATTCTCCTTTTCTTTATTTCCAACTTTTCTCTTTCAATGATGTTCCGTTCCTCCATTGCCTGAGCTATTCTTCTCAACACATCTAACTTTTCTTTTTCAATTTTGACAATATTCTGAATGTCGTCGTCAGATGGATCATCAGCCACTGTAATTAAGAAATGCCTGGCATCAATTATCAAATCCTAAAATTACCGTTGAAAAACATTTTTCAATTACATTACATAACTTGGATCAGTATGATGAAATTGATGGATGCATTATAATGACTTGCCAGTATGATGTTTCCTTTTTGTCTGCTTGAAAGGTGGCTTTACTGCAACGTTGGGAGGTGATAGTACACTGTGCAATGATGATATAAAATCTGTTGACAAAAATTATTAGAACATTAAATTGCAATTTTGCAATAAGAAGTCAATTGAAAACCTAGCTTCATCCTCACAAGAATGTAGCAGCTGTCAACATTTAACATTTAACAGAGAGAGAGAGAGAGAGAGAGAGAGAGAGAGATCAGAGAGAGAGAGAGAGAGAGAGAGAGAGAGAGAGAGAGATAGCAGATAAATCATTGAAATAGCATTGAAAACATATATTGCTATTAGGCGAATAACAAGCGTCCTGTTCAGTTTGTTTGGTGTATGATATATATATCTGGGTGAACAAACCTTCACATGAAGAGCTTCCCACTGGGGTATCAGGGACACACTTGTCGCCGGTGTCCACTGAGACCTCGGTCACTGGTGGAGACTGAGTGGTCACACATGACTCTGTTGGACCTGTAATGACATTAATTACATTATTTACATCTGTTGAAATTTTAGTATCTGTCTAAAAATCAAACAATTGCTTTTAATTTATTTTCAAATGGTTTTATTGAATAGAAAAAATATTTTTATATCTGAGATATACTGTATTTATGTCAATACTGCTTCTTAAGTTCTTACTTGTTTCAAAGTATTCAGACTCCATTCCACCTTCAATACCCTCTAACTGGCAAGTGGGTATGAGACTTGCTACCTGTTAATAAAAATGTGATTTTTGATACACTATATTGTCTTTTTTGTATTTTCAACAACTAACCAATCTAATTTACGAATAATTTACTTCACACCACCAGGGTATAGATTCAAATTCTTAGTAAGTGTGATTCATAATTTCTTTCTATGAAGAGAAGTTGTCAGAGAATCTATTTTCAGCATATTTTGAGCTAATTAGTGAATGTTTCTCATACCCTTTCTTCCACATCCGACAATGGTTGAGGGCTTGGACTGCCATCAGTTTTCTTCATCTCCCTCCTTCTGATCATTTCCTTTTTTTACTAAGGACCTGGGAGAATTCAAAATCTTTGATTAAGGTTCACATATTAGCACTAATTTTATTCAGATTGAGTTTTTGGTAAAAACCAGAGGTAAAAACCACAGTGTATAAATGATCATGACACATTCCAACAAACTCACATGATATTTCAGACAAATTTAAGAAATTTTGATAATACCATTACTGTATTATCAACATACTGTATCATAATAAGAATACATGTATGTTAACTAATTCATATTTATATTTCCTCTTTCAAGGCATATACGTTATATCATGTATATTAGTTTACCTTGTGAAATAACTGGTAGCAAGGTCTTTGTACATTACATATTAATTAATTACTTGTATTTAGTGAGGGAAAAAAGTATGTTACAAATTGTAATGCAGATTAATTAAACTTGTCCTAAAGCTTTGATCAAATTGTTCTTGATGTTGAATTTTGTGTTATTGTCAAACAAATTTACTCATGAAAATAAGTTAAGCTTCCATTGTGAAAATAAATAACTAAAACTTTAGGTTCAGTTTTGAACAGATCAATGTTTCCTCACCTGAAGTCAGTCCATTTCTTACGGACTTCGTCCCCATCCCTCCTGGAATTAGCATTTGCATTGATCCTATTAACAAAAACATGTTCATAATACAATGAAAGATGATATCTTTTTTGTAATATAAACACAAGTAGTTTGAAATTATGTTCAGCAAGTGAAGGTATTTCATATAACAAGATAAATTCTCAAATGTACGTAATATACCGACACCATCGCCATTTTGTATCTAAGGACGCCGTAACCTGTCACGCCCACTAATCCCTATAGCGAGGTTGTCATTATCTTTTATGATGTTATGTTTGTCAAAGTATTACATCATTTGCTTTTATGACACTTGTTACACATAACATTAAGGAGTGTGTTTATTCGTTGTGGGTTTTTTTAGCATTGTGTTTAAATTTAATAAAGCTGAAATCAGAAAGATCGACTCCATCATCACTTACTTTTCAGCGATCTCATTCCAAAGACGCTTTTTGCCAGCAGCTGTGATGACTGCTGAAAATCTGCCAAACAGATAGCTGCTGTGTTGGGCCACTTCAGACGTTAAAATGTCCAATTCAAAGGGCGAGAAATTCGTTTTTCTCACCCTTCCCTTTGATTTCAAGTCCTCCATTGTACGGCGGGTTGTCGTCTGTTTACACAAAGGGACGTAACTCGCAATCCATGTTCTTTTCAAGTCTTCTCAGCAAAAGAGTTCGCAATACGATAGCTAAAAGTTACCGTAAGTTTTCTCGTAACAACGAGAGTACTAAGATACTTTCGTGAAACGCCCTTAGCGTGGTATCGTAAGATATATCGTAGGAGTTACGAGATCTTAGGCCTACGAGAGCTTCGTGAAACGGGCCCCTGTCTCGTAGCGTGGGTGAACACCTATAAATCGGTCATGGAATGTAAGCGGAGGCCAATTACATCAATGGGAGACAAAAATTCTTTCCTGGTCAGAGGCGTTTTATGAGTACAAGACATACAATCTATTTGGATAGACCAAAGTAAGAGATTAACATAGGAATGACTACCTATGACTGGGACTGAACAGAAAAAGTAATTGAAATAGTTTAACAAGGCCTTTAATATGAAATATTTGACTAACCCACGAGTACTGCATGTTATTTTCTCAAGAACAGAGACTGTATGAGCAATGCGCAGTGTTCTTCATTCTATTTGATGTGGTAAACATCCCTTGTGGGAGAATGATATGTTGTATGGTACATTGGTGACGACCAATTGGGATTGTTGGATATTCCTTCACTAGGGAGAGATATTGACTCCTTATGATAAGGAGCAGGAACAGAGTATTTGAAATGAGGAGCGTATTTGATTGTTGATGTTCAAAAGGACCATTCAGTTTCACACTTAAGGTGATGATGACACTACTGACGAGGTGGAACTCAATACCACTGACGACATGCGTTTTAGATACCTATGGGTTTCTTTGGGGTACTACCTTTAATCATTATAAGGGAGAAATCTTGACGTATGAACAGACACAGTATCATACATTGGTAATGAAATAGACTTCCAAAGGATAGAAATACTCAAATACTACACAGCTTCCAAGGTACAGACATTACACTACTACTTTGTCTCTATGATGTTACCAGTAACGTCCAATGGCAGCAACACTCAACTTTATCAAGTAAAGTCATTCGAAAGAGTGTCTTCAAAAGACATAAAGTTAGTAAAAGAGAATAAGATAATTTACATATACCCAACTGACCCTATCTTAATGAATAGATGGTCTATGATTGGGGACATGCAATGGATATCAAGAACTTATCTCATATATGGATGCTTATTTGTACTCATAATTTTATTCATTTCTGTTTCCACTGATACATGGAAGTGAACAATATCCAATACTTATTCATGAGTTAGGTAGTCTTTCTGCTCCACCACCTTGTACAACAGTAACACAAACAAGATATAAAGTTAATTTCACCTTCAGTTCCTTCAAGACAGGAGAACTTTGTGATGACTTTCAAGTTTCATTTTAGAAGCTGATGTGACTTTGAATTATCTAATTCATTTTACAAACTTACGTGAACTCAGACATACTAGTGTCCTCATGTATAAATGATTCCATATTGTATTCTGATGTTGCATGCTTTATACATTCATAATTTGGATGTATGATATGGTGTTGTAAAACTATCACGATTTGTAAAGAAAAAGGAAAGAAAATGTTCAAGCATCCAAACTTTCGATGTTGATTTGATTTGTAATACCTATAATGTTTGCATTTATTATATTCAATCAGCAATTGTTAAAAATATTATTTGCTCTAACATGTCTGTTACATTTCTCAGATAGGTACAACCTAAGACAGATCCTATCTGAGACACTTACCTGTACTTGAATTTTGCGTTTTCTGGTCCTCAAATATGTAGTTACTTATTTAATATTTCTCATTGATATTATATTCTTGACTTATTGATATGTAAACAATTGTTATGTATTTGATATATGTGTATGTATGTTAGAACTTAAGCCATTTATCAGTCGCATGGGACATGCTCTACAACGGAGGGCATGTATAACCAGGGTATTTAGAGTTGAAAACATTATATACATTTTATAAATATTTAAAGAAAATTTGAAGTTAAGTTCAGAAGGGTAAATGTACTGGGAAAGTGCATTGACCAAGCTAACTGAACTGTTATTGATTCACTTTTCTTGGGGGAATAACAAATTCTTTGAATTGACATCAATGAGGGTGAAACGTTCAAACTGGTGTTTATACACAAATTGGGTGGATGGACATTTGGGATACAGATGGTCAGTTTGGTCAGTTTGTCAATAAAGGAGCATGCATAGGAAATGAAATGATTTGATTAAGTATCTACTAGTCTGAGATATTAGTCGGATATGTCAACGTTGGGTTGATGTATGGCTTAAGGATAACTAGAAATGTCATTTTATCACTGGAAGAAATTGATGGTACCAAATAAAGTCTCCGAAAGGGACTAATGAAAGTAACTAATTATTAAGATTGGATATGAGTCATTTCTGTAGGAGGTAGGACATCATTTCGGGGGGAGGAGCCCAGAAATTGTGAAGAGAACTAAAAACTATCTGACTGAGAGAGAGCGGGAGAGACTGGGCCCTGCCGTTGACTTGAGAGGTTCTCTCTGCATATTGAGAGAATGGCTCAGATGAAATTGTAACTTAGGAGTTGAGAAAGAAACCAACAAGTTCTTCCAGGAGATGTGTGAATCTGGGATGTATGTAAACCAGGAAATCTAGGAAATATTTGAGGACCTTTGTGAAAGAATTCATCCTACAATAAACAGGACTTGAACACCATACTGGACTTATCCTTGATTATCCATCTAGCTACATCATCCCCAGAACCAGAGTGGCTAGACAGATTGCCTAGGGAATAAGGGTACAACACCCCGAAAACCTAAGGTAATACTATCGAAGAAAGCACGAGTTCTCTTCAGATGGTCTTCCCACTCCATGTCGTAATTGATGACATCATCCATGTAAGCTTCGACACTATCAAGACCAGATGTGACATTGTTGACGAATCTCTGAAATGTCGCTGGTGCGTTCTTCAAACCAAACGGCATCACTTTGTATTGATACAGTCCATCTGGTGTAGCAAATGCCGATATTTTCTGAGCACGGTCTGTGAGTGGAATCTGCTAGAAGCCCTTCAATAAGTCAAACTTACTTATATATCTTGCTTGACCAATGCGATCAATGCAATCGTCCACTCTCTCGGTATTGGATACAAATCAGTTCGTGAGAGTGCATTGACAGCTTTCATGTCAGCACAGCAGCGCCAACCACCTCCTCTCTTCGGCACAAGAACACATGGTGAACTCCACGGACTGTCACTGGGTACAATAATGTCATTGTCCAGCATGTATTTCACTTGTTTCCACAGAATCTCACGTTTCACTGGATTCATACGATATGGGTGTTGTACAGGCACAGCATCACCTACATCTATATCATGGCTAACAACATCCGGCCAGGCACATCAGGAAATAAATGAGAGAACTCATGGATCAAATCTGACATTTGAACTTTCTGCTCAGGGGATAAATGTGATAGTTTCTCATCAAGGTGAGCTAACACATCAGAATTTCTTAACTTTGGTGAAACATTATCACTAAGGTCATCAAACTTCACATTGCTCAATGTTGTCAACACATTCACGATTGTCTTTAATACAATCAGTAACTGGGGAGAGTGTGGCAATACAATTGACCTGTTTGGTTTCTAACCTGTCATGGTATTTCTTAATCATGTTTACATGACACAATCTCTTTTGTTTATGACGACGGCCAGGTGTCAGGACAACATAGTCTGCGTCGCTAACCTTTTTGTCAACAACATATGGACCTTGATATCTAGCTCTCAGTGGTTGACCAGGAATGGGAAGTAAGACTAACACTTTCTCCCCATGAATGAATTTCTCTCTTTTCACTTTCTG